GGTCTAAGTGATGAACCAAGGTACACACATGGCAAAACAAACATAGCATCCAACCTATTAAAACACAACTATGCAACATACATGTTTCATTAGTATGTTTCAATTCTATATTTCATGTCATGCTTATGAATGCATAATAATGATTATGCTCATGATTTGCAAAATGTTAATGCATGCTTAACACCGAGGTGTTACAGCTAGCAAGTAAGATATCATCCACATATAGGACAAGGAAGATAAACTTCCTATTTTTAAATTTTGCATAGACATAATTGTCCTCTACATTCTCTTTAAACCCAAAATTCCTTATTATCTGATCAAACTTTAAGTACCACTGTCTTGAAGCTTGTTTTAATCCATAAATGGATTTCTTTAGGTGGCATCCCATTCGTTCTTTTTCTTCCATGACAAAACCTTTCGGTTGTGCCATGTAAACATTTTTCTCCAAGTCCCTGTTGAGAAATGTCGTCTTTACATCCATCTGATGTAATTCTAAATCATAATGTGCCACTAATGCCATTATGATTCTGAAAGAATCCTTATATGAGACTGAAGAAAAGGTCTCATTGTAATCAATCCTTTCTCTTTGCGTAAAGCCTTTTATCACAAGTCGCGCTTTATATCTCTCTATATTATCTTGATAGTCAAGTTTTGTTTTGTAGACCTATTTACAACCTACTATTTTAGCTCCTTTAGGAATTATTTTCAAGTCCCAAACTTTATTGGCATTCATAGATTTCATTTCATCTTCCATGGCCTCAAGCCACTTTGATGAATGACCACTTCTCATGGCTTCTTCAAATGAGGTGGGATCATCCTCTATTTGAAATTCCTCAGTGTTGTATACTTCATAGTCAGCAGGAATAGCTGATTTTCTAACTCTTTGAGACCTTCTAGGGGCCTCCATATTTGGCACATCATCTGTTTAAGGCTGTTGTTGCTCTCCCTCATGTGTGGCAATAGGTTCTACAGGATCCTGAAGAATAGGTTCCTCATCGTCATTCATTGTTGCCACAGGCGGAATAACAATAGGTGCTGACACCATAATATCTTGCACTATCGGTGCAACGATTGCAGGTAGTGAGAAAAATGGCTTATGAATCATCGGAGTGAGCGCATACATCCACTTCTCTTCAAGGTCAATTTCTCGAGCTACCATGCTCCCCCTCATTATTTCATCCTCTAGGAAGACAACATGTCTTGTTTCCACATACTTTGTATGTTTGTCTGGACAGTAGAAACGAAAACCTTTTGACTTTTCTGGGTAGCCAATGAAATGGCAACTTACTGTTTTGGGATCTAGCTTCCCAATATTTGGGTTAATTACTTTAGCCTCAACAGGACTCCCCCACACACGTAAGTGGTTTAGTGAGGGTACTCTTCCTATCCACAACTCATATGGTGTTTTGGGCACCGACTTACTTGGTACTCTATTGAGAATATGAATGGCGGTTTTAACGCCTCGTCCATAGGCTCAATGGTAAGGTGGAGTAACTTATCATACTGCGCACCATATCTATCAGGGTATGATTGCGTCTTTCAGCTACTCTATTCTACTGAGGTTCGCCCGGTGTAGAATACTGGGCTACTATGCCATTCTCCTATAAGAACCTTGCAAAAGGTCCAGAATTTGGCCATATTGGATATGCCGACCGTAGTACTCCCCCCCGGTCGGACCTGACTATCTTAATATTTAAATTGTGTTGGTTTTCAACTTCTGCCTTAAATATCTTAAATTTATCCAATGCTTTTGTTCTTTCTTTGATTGAATAAATATAGCCATAACGGGAGTAATCATCTGTGAATGTTATGAATGAATCATAACCATCCACACTCTTTACAGGAAACGGACCACATATGTCTGTGTGAATAATCTATAAAATTCCTACGCTTCGTTTGGCATCTTTCTTAATTTTCTTTACATACTTTCCTTTTATGCATTCTCTGCATTGTTCTAAATCTGAGAACTTTAATGGAGGAAGTATATCATTCTTAACTAGTCTTTCTATTCTGCCCCTCGAAATATAGCCTAAACGATGAAGTGCCATAATTTCGACGACGCATCGTGAGCTCTCTTTCGTTTTCTGTTTACATCCACATACGAGGATACATTTTAATTGTTGCACGCAACGTTTCCATCATCGCATACAACATTCACATCATCACGTAGTGATAACAAATAAAGCTCATTTTGTAAGATAGCAAGACCAACACATGCATTATTAAATGTTATCTTACAATTAACATTTCTAAAATGGCAATCATATCCATCATTGTCCAAGCATGAAACACTAATCAAGTTTCTCTGTAAAGAGGGAACATAAAGTATATCTCTAAGTAAAAGTGTGAAGCCATCAACAAGCTCTAGAGAAAGATCGCCAACGGCTTCAACATCTGCTCGGAGTCCATTTGCAACTTTAACGTGTCTTTCTCTTCTTTGCGTAGTCCTCGTCGAACAGAATCCCTATAAAGAATTAGCAACATAAATAGTGCACATGAGTCACTCCATCAAGTAGATTTTGAATACTGTATATATAGGGATTCATTTATGAACGTAATAATATTCTCACATTTTTTTTGCCATGATCATCTTTAAGTAACCGGGACAACCTTTATGAACGTAATAACGTAATAATGTTCTCACCCGTCTTCTTGCAATAGAGACACTGGTCTTTCTCTACTGTGAACTTGTTCTGTTGAGGCTGATGCAATATGGGACCCTTTCCCTTTGACTTTGAGGAGGAGTTAGCATTATTATTCTTTTTCTTGTTGTCTTTCACATAATTGATTGTGCCACCATTGGCAGCTTTCATTCTCTCCCTCTCTTGGACACACATAGCCATGAGCCTCTCTAAGTTCCACTTCTCGGGCCGTATGTTGTAGTTGACAACAAAAGTGTCAAATTCCTTAGGTAAGGAAGAAAAAATTAGATGTATAAAGAACTCTTTCTGGAGAGCCAGATCCATTGGTTTTAGCTTGGATGCCAAATTACTCATCCTTAGTATGTGCTCTCTTATGCCATAATTTTCAGAGTACCTCTCTGTCACCAGCTGCTTTATCAGCTGGGTAGCATATGTCTTTGAAGAGCCTGTGAACTGACTCTTTATTCTATCAAGGTACTCGATGACCGTGTCACACTCTAGGATTGAACCCACAATTGTAGGCTCAATCATGTTCTTTATCACAGCCAAACATTTCTTGTTGGCAGTGACCTACTTCCTATGCTCATGGTCATAAGACATCTTTTAGGATGTAAAATTCCTCTCTCTAGTTGCCCAAGTGGCATCAGCCTCGTTTGTCTCTCTCACCGGTGCCACAGGCTTAGTGGGACACGGTGAGGTGACTAACCAGTCCACCTCAGCCAAGATGAAGGCCAGGTCAATCTTTTTCTTCCACTCTATTTAGTTGTCACCTTTGAGAGTGGGGATCTCTTTGATACAACCCATCAAGTTGTATCCACCTGAAAACACAATTCATATAGAGTGAGAACATAAACATAATAATAACAATTGCATGCCTTAGTTTCAACATTGGTCAAAATTAAAACATACAATATTCTTATATACTAATTCTACATCACCGTTAGGCAGAAATAGAATTAATGCATGAAAAACTTATGATTAAACCTTATAATATTGCTATTATCAACGTTGGTCAGAAAAATAATAATATTATAATTTACTGATTAAAATTGACTACACTTCAAATTAAATTCTTCCGTTGATTCGAATTTAATTAGAAGATCATTAACTTTAATATTGCAGCCGAAAAATAATTCAATTTAATGAATTTTACCTACAGAAAAATTCTCTTTTCTATTTACTTTAATCTATTTGTCTATTTTTCTAGGAAATAAACATTTACTAGGAAAAAAGAAAAAGGAAAACTGACTCATTTCTTTTATTATCTTTGGCCCAATAAGCAAGCAAAGCCCACGGTTGCCACAAGGCCCCCCCGTGCCAAAGCCACAACCTCGGGCTGGGCCGAAAAATCGCCCGACGTCGCCACAAGACGCCTGGGCCAAAAGTCGACTGTTGTTCGCGGGTTGCCTCGCCGATCAAGATCGACGGCTCGGCTTTTTTTTTGCGAACAAAAAAAATGGTTGTGGTGGCTTCCCAAAACCCTAGCTCATCTCACTCCCTCCTTTTCTCTCTCGATCACCATGATGGAGAGCAGAGAGCAGCAGCAGCCATGGCGGCCGGGAGGAAGTGGTGGCCGCCACGCGCCCCTTCACGGCAAGCGCAAGGCCCACCCGAGGGTGAGCGCACCGCCATCGAAGGGCTGCGCTGCGGTGCCCTTGACACCCGAGCCCGAGGCGGAGCCACGCCGTGGCGTGACCTGCCCGGTCGGTGCCTCTGGTTCTTCCCGCGCGCCGACTATGGAGATGGCCCCTTCTCTACCTTCCCCTTTCTCTTTCTAGGGTTAGGGTTTTTTTTCCCGATTTGATTTCTTTTCTTTTTCTATTTGTACCCATACCGAGATCTACTTAATAGAACCTGGCTCTGGTACCAATGTTAATATCTATTATGATGACATAGTCATAGATCTAGCTGGGTACATCTTGTAAATGGATAACATGTCCTAGTACGTCTACTAGACAGAGATTAGAGGGAGGAATAGTACTAGGTTACCGATCATCGTAGGCCTTCGATCCAGAGACATTAGCCATGGTTGTTGTGCCGGTGTCTGCGCGAGGGCAGCGACGGTCGTTGAAGAGGGTGATGAAGTCGTCGACATCGGTGGAGCGGGGTGGCGCGGCTGGTGGCTTCCCGTCACTGGCTGTGTCCCTCTCTGATCAGGATTATGGTTTAGGTTTTGGTGGGGAGCTCGGCTTAGGCGAACCTCGTACTTAGAGCCGCCGCCCCACCCCCATATATTGTGCGCAGTGTGACAGAGGACCCTCCAGCCATAGTGGGCTGGACGTCCCCAATCAGGACGCGGATCAAAGACCTAACTGGGCTGTTGGGCCTAGTTTAGTATTAGAGATCAATCGTGCCGACGAAGCCGCCGTGCGACGAGAGGGAGACGAGCGACGGGATGCTCACGGCCGCCACGCCGATCATGGAGTAGGCAGAAAAGGCGTAGTCCGACGCCCCGAAGTTGATGCCGTCGAAGACAAAGGCCAGCGTGTTGAGCGTCTGCGTGCCGGCGACGAACGGAACGCCCTTCCGAATGGTCTTGATGACGGCGGCGTCGCTGGTGAAGGCGCCGGCTCTGAACTGCAGCCCGACACCGAGGAGCGCCGTGAGGGCGACGCCCAGGAAGACGCCGAGCTGCAGGACGCGCGCGGTGGTGGCGGCCACCTTGTAGCGGTCCTCCTTGGCGAAGGCGCTCGCGATCATGGCCTGGCTGGCGACGGCGACCCGTCGGCGAGGAGGGACGTGGCCAGCCAGACCTGGGTGCAGATCTGGAAGGCGGCCATGGCAGTCGGCCCGTGGCGAGCGGCCAGCGACGCCGCCAGCGTCACGCAGAACGTCACGGCCACCACCCGTGCCAACAGAAGGAATCCTGCAATTAAAGATCCATGGTTAACCTCATCATCATCTCGTTAAAATGGATCCAAGTGTGGAGAGGCATCGTACTGACTACTGACCGCATCCGAGGAAGCGCCGGAATTTGAGGCATTTCAGGCTGGGCGGGACGACGTCCACCTTCCTCACCAGCTTGTTCAGCATCATCAGCGTTATCAGGTACCTGCGTGCAGTTTAATTTCACCATTGTCAGTTGTTGCGGCCAATGCTGAATTGCTGACAAGCAGGAGATGGATGGTCATGATCTTACTGGGAAAGAACATGGGCGATGGCTGCTCCGATCACGCCCATGCGGCAGCCGAATATCAGGATCGGATCCAGCACAATGTTTACCGCGTCGCCGGCCACTGCATGCATTCGTAACAACTGAGATCAAACCTGCTGGTTTGCTTGGTTGATACATGGCAGCATATTTTGTATGTAGCATTATTACCGATGGCGTATTACGTCTTGGTGTCCTTGAAGCCTCGGAAGACGCCTTGCGTGGCGAGAGACAGCAGCACGACCGGGTCGCCAAGCGCGCGCAGCGTCAGGTAGCGCAGCGCGGGGATCACCATGGGCGAACCCTGGGAATCATTGAGCACCAGTAGTTGTATAAGCAACTGTTCATCATTCCACCGACGATCTAGCTCACCGTTGCGGTGCGGGCATGCACAGGCGCAGTGACTTACCGGCTTGACGCCCATGAGGCGCAGCAGCGGCTTCCCGGCGGCGACGAGGAGGACGGTCTGGAACAGCCCAAGGAACGCGCCCACGATCAGCGCCGACGTCACGGACGGCACGAACCTCCTGTTCCCTGATTTCTTGCCACTCCTCCGGCCGGCGACGACGGCAGGGGCGCATCCCTTGCCGCCTGCGAGCTCGTCGCCGCCACTCTTTGCGGCGGCTTCGTCGGCTGGCTGCTGCTGCTTCTCCAGGTCCGCGCCGGAAGCAGTGTGGTCCGGGCCTTGTTCCACTTCTTCTTCTTCCACTCCGTCGTCGATGACCTTGGCGCCGCCTTTGCTGAGCACGGCGTGCTCCTCCGCAACGAACGACGTGGTGACGCTGACGAATGGGTAGATGCACACCTTCATGACCTGGTTGAACACCGCGATGGCGACGCCCACGGCCGCGATCTCCACGGACCCCAGCCGGCCGATGAAGGCCGTGTCGATCAGCGAGGCAAGCGGGTCGGCCGTCAGCGCCAGCGACGCCGACACCGCGATGCCCAGCACCTCCGCGCCGACCTCGTCCAGCTTGAACACGCTCCTCACGTTCATGAAGAAAAGGTGCAGCCCCGTCCAGCGCGGACCGCCGAGCAGCTCCGAGCCGCCGCCGTCCCCGTTCTCAGCGGGAGCCGCAGTACCATTCTTTGGCGCGGCCGGAGCAGCGACGTCCCCGTTCTCAGCAAGAACCGCAGTGCCATTCTGTGGCGCGGCTGCGGCCGGAGCAGCGACGTCCACTGCCACCGCCACCGCCATCGCCACCGCCACCTGCTGCTGCGGTGGCTGCTCGGCCTCGGGCTTGGCGTGAGCTGGTATGTTCCTCCATGTATCCCTGCCGGCCTAGCTTTGCAAGCCCTACATACGCCACATTAATCACTGGATCAGTGATAATCAAAGCATTTTCAATAAAAACGACAACGATGATGATCACCCACTTTTTGTTTGTTCTACTACCCTCTACCACCTGACTGCGTCTCAAATTAATTAACAAGGACTTATGTAGTAATATGCTCCTACATCATCGTAGAGGAACAAAATAACAGGATAGTTAATGACTAACCAGAGCTGAAGAGCAAGTGGGAGCAAAACTCTAGAGGTTGGTGAAGGGGACAAGTGGTGAACTGGTTGATGGAGTGGGTGTGACCAGTGACCGAGCAACCCATCCTTATATAGGCAGGCAGGCAGACTCCAGTCCAGCTAGCCGAGAGGAAAAAATTTGGTGTGTGTGTCTGCTACTAAATTAAACGTTTCTATAGCTGTGCGCTTTGCACCATGTCGATCAGAGTTTGAACCCCTCAAGGGCGGATTTGTTGGCCCGAGGAGACGCAGCTTATTATGGGGCTGTGCTGAAAAAAAAAAACTCTCTCTCGCCCCACGCCAAAACATAGGTCTCAGGTCAGCCTGGGCAGTCTTGCGGGGGGGAGCTACGTGCATGGTGCGTGGCCTTGGTATCGATCATGTGGAGCAACTATGCGAGAGTGCAGAGGTTCATTCCCGAGGGGTTTTCGCTCACTTGACCCACGTAAGAAGGTTTTCTTCTTAAGCACAATGACCGAGGCTGTCTTACCCTCCACGGGTCGAGTTTTTTTTAACTTTGCAAGTTTTTAGAGATATATATTAACACCTATAAATTATTAACTTTCCAAAATTTCCTTCTAAATTTTAAGAAACAGTTTCATGGGTTGGATACATATGTAAGAGTAAGACACGTATCATGAATCTACAGTAAGTGCCTATAGTTTCTCCATATAAATTATGTTCCCACCTAATATATTTCCAAAACAGTGACTCTGAGTGAGACTGGCAAACTGCCCCATGGTCCAACTTGGCAATAATGCTCCATGTCACGAGCAGTGGTAGCCCTACAAACCTGTAGAGGTGCTTGTAGAGGCGTTGACGACCTCGACCCTGTTAGCTTGTCTTAAAAATGATTTGTTTGGCTTATTTTCAATGGGATCTCGTGGAGGAGCGTCTATTTTATTTTTTAGCGTAGAATAGTGTTTTTCTCTAACAACAATTCGAAAGCGATGCAAAGCGAGCATGGGATGTGTGAAAGAGGTTTTTCGAAGTATTTATCAAAGCCAAGTTTAGTCCATCAAGTGAAGCGGCCTCGTCTGACAAAACTTCAGAGCAACACCGCAAGGATGCGTCGTGGGCACGGAGCAACAGAACTAGTTCGTCTTTTTCCAGAGGTTGAGAAGAGGAATGAAAAAGAAGCATCTGACAAAAACCTAAACAATGAAGTGACTTTTTACTGTAGCTATGTGTCCTGTTGGGGCTGCCCTTATGCTGCTGACTGCACTAGAATTAGCTATGGCGCCCTATTGGTGGCAGCGGTATTTGGCATCACGGACATAGCCGAGACATTGGTTTGGTGGTTTTTTTGAGAAAAAATATCATAAGGGAACAATTAATGGACAAAGGAACGGAAATCTTGCTGGAGTATATAAGTAATCTTACACAAATTCCATTCTCATCTGCGATCATGGTTTGAGCTTCGAGTTAGCTGAAACCAACAACTGTATGTGTCCTGGTGTTTGGTCATCTGATGCCCCCATGCATGATGCATGCATGAAACAGCAAGGCCAACCAACTTTTATAATCTGTACTAGTAGATGCTTCAATCATCGGACGGAGCAAACGCATGGGAATGATAGCTTGGCGCCTCCTTTTTCCTTTGGACGACAGTCGGCTTTGCAGCAGCTGCTGGATCCCGGAGCTACAGCAACCTTGGATCGAGCGAGGAGAGGGCACGTGGGAGCAGCTCACGCGTCCAGCGCTGCACTCCACACTCGGATCGATCTATCGATGAGTGACCCAGGTGCATGGACCTGCGCACTTCGAGATGCGATGGATCCAGTGAGCTACCGGTGCAGGTGCTCAGCTTACTTCGCACCGAGATTCGTGCGTTGATGCAACCACCGCCGTACGTGCGCAACACATCGCACGTGGCCTTGCCCGTGGTCATCTTGTCGCCGCCCCGTGCTACGCAACGGGTCGAGCCAGCCACGGCCACCGTTGTCGAGCCAGCCGAGGCTGTAGCCATCGTTACCATGCTCGCGTGGCGTTTTAGAGATATATTAACACCTATAAATTATTAACTTTCCAAAATTTCCTTCTAAATTTTAAGAAACAGTTTCTGGCGATTCACCTGAACCAGTGGGTCCGTTGTTGTCAGTCTGAGTGAGTGGCAAACTGCCCCGGGTCCAACTTGGCAATAACCCATGTCACGAGCAGTGGTGGTGAGGTGCTTGTAGAGGCGTTGACGCCTCGACCTTGCTTCTCCCTGCCCCGCTTAGCCGACGCCGGTGAGCCGCTTAGGGGCTCAGCTACCGCAGATTCAAGTGCTCTGACAAAAACCTAAACAATGAAGTGCTGGCATGTGTCCCCTCTTGGCTCGGCTCTAATCACTAGGCGACCGCCGCCGCCCTGATGCCCCATGCATGATGCATGCATGCAGCAAGGCCAACCAACTTTTATAATCTGTACTAGTAGATGCTTCAATCATCGGGCGCATGGAATGTCACCGACGACAGTCGGCTTTGCAGCAGCTGCTGGATCCCGGAGCTACAGCAACCTTGGATCGAGCGAGGAGAGGGGGGAGCAGCTCACGCGTCCAGCGCTGCACTCCACACTCGGATCGTATGATGTGCAGGTGCATGGCGCACTTCGAGCGATCCAGTGAGCTACCTCTCCCTTCATAATCACCAACTCAAGCCCTCATCCCTCCGTGGTCATTCCTTGTAGCCACAGCCACCGTTGTGAGTAATATGGAGAGTTACCTAGACGCCCACTCACTCGCCGGGTCAACCGACCCCAGCTACGTGGTGACGTCTGCGCGTGGCCAATTTTGGGGTTTTGATTCAAGTGCTTGCTACCGCACCTCTTGGCTCATCTAAGGCGACACGCCCACCTCCCAGGCGGCCAGTATGTGGATTGGGGGTAAGGCATATATGGAGCCCTCTCCCTAGCATTCAATTGTTCGTAAATACGAGTTCACCTTGACTTTCGGGTCCATCGGTGGTGCGTGGCCAATTTTATTTTGCCGTGTGGTGTGTGAGTATGTGGGTGGGGTAACGCATATTGAGCGGTGTCATTGCAGCAGTTCACCTTGACTTCCGCCATCCGCTTATTTTGCCCTGCTGGTGATCGCATGTGGACGCGGCCTGTGTCCATCTGACCGGACCGCCTCCGACCGAACCGAACCATCACCACGGGCAAGCTCGATGTAAACTACACAATGGTTGCCACCGGTCCTTTTTCTTTTCTAAGCATTTTCTAAATTAGTTTCTAAGGTAAACTTGTAAATTCAAAATAAAATTGTGTAGTTGATCGAAAATTGTGAAACTAATTTTGTTCGGTTCCTAAAATCATGATCTATATCTGTTAGTATATTTTGTTCATATAGTTTTATAATATTTTCAGGAGTTATCTAATTAATTTAAGATGCTTAATATTGTAGGATATAAACTTATAGGAATTGTTGTGATAAATTGGTGATAGTGTTGGCTCAAAAACTTTCACAGTAAATTCTTAACATTATTAGGTGTTCACTATAATTTTTGTAGCTCCATAATAATTAGTTTGCTAGGGTAGCTAAATAAGCCATAGTTTGAATATATATATTTAATCAATAAAATGCCCAAACACCTTGGGATTGTAGAACTAAAATATTTTTCGAAAACGAAGCCTTACTTGATGACGTGTATACGTAGCTTAGTTAATTAGTCGTTAGAGCTAGCTCGTTAGCTTACGAAGCGTAATCGTATTCTTGGAGTTGCGGTTGCCGTTGGTTAATTACGATTTTCTGCGTTATGCTCACGTATATCATAATAGGGACAACGATGGATCATGGAGTCAATAAGGGAAACAGAAAACATGGTGCCTCGGTGATCGTGTCACCATGATGGAGTGCTAACCTTTGGTTATATCTTACCCAGACAAGCCCTAGTGTATAACTCATATTATTTTGCACTTTATTTTATACTTGTGTATTAAGTTTTAAGGAGTTGAACGAAACCCACTTGCATATATATATATATCCTTATCCTATGAGTCCTGCTAGTATGTCAGGATCATGTAGATTGCTATGCTAAAGGATTCCGGTAGAAGTCGAGTGATTATCTGTCACTCGCGAGAGATAGGAAAAATATTATTGTTCTCATTATCCTATAACTATCACATTGAATATATATGGATGATAATTGGAGATCGGGCAGAATTGTACTTTGGATCTGGATTCGGTTAGGCAATCGAGTGAGGCTCGGGTTGCACTTGTTCCGCCTGTGTCGATTGAGGACCTTCGTTGCTATGGATGGTAGTTAAGTCATAGACTTATTATCCTGAGCACATACTTGCTTATAGGGCGGGAAGATTTATTACTCTCTTGTCATGGGTTCTGGCTCTTTCTGGGCTGGCTTTTAGGGGTGGGTATTAGGTGGAGGTCTAAGCACCATACTGAGACCGGGTCTCAGGTGTTGGGGGCTTGGAGTCCAAGTTTGGACGGGGACCTGGACCCCTTGACAGGAGTGAGACAAGTTGGTTCTGTTTGTGCCCGGGGTACAAGCGGGCGTGTGTTTTGGGGTACCCAGCTGGGATACATTGATTCACGAATCGTTGTTTCTCTGAGACGGTACCGACTTGGCTATGGTCTAGCACCGTAGTAAGAACTGGAATATAAAAGATGGTAAAATGGTTCTGATTGCTGACCACCTGCTTGAAAGTAGCATAGGTGCTTATATAGAATGGTTAGTTAA